TATTGGAAAGACAATTTTATTTGTCTTTGAAAATATTAATTATTTAAAATATTAATGATACATTGTTTAAAGTTCGTAATAAAAATTAATAGAAATGTTTACCAAACATCTTTATTTTTTTCTTTATGTATTTTTAATCATTATCTATCTAATTTATTTCACATTTTTGCAGGTTGCAAAAACATTGCATTCCTTTTTTTCGGCTTTCATGAAACTTCAAGGTTTATCGAAAGAAAAAAGCAACTGTAACAACTTAACATTGTAATTAAATTCTTCAGAAAAAAATTCGTTTGGACATTGATATTTAATACAATTTTTATATGTCCATAATTTAAAAAAGTTGTTATGTTTTAATTGAAATATGACAGTTTCAATACGTGAGCGAAGAAAAATCTCTTGTTTGCATGAAGGATGCAAGTAGATTGCAATTATTTGTTTATACTTAGTAATTGTTCTGTAAATATAAATTGATTTCTTATGATAAAGTCATTCAGTATTCTCGCAGAAACCAGAAAACCTAAAATGCCAGAGTGGACAGGAAGCCAACAAGCAACGATTCTAACCGGTCAACCTGAACATTCATGAATACTTAGCAATATCATCGCTCCGAAAAGCAATGTAGTCGCTCCAAAAAGCAGAATACCGACAAGTCACCCATTTTATTTTTAGTTCTAGCTCTGTATAACGGCAGAAATCATAAAAAATTGAAGCTTTCGTAGCGAAGACTTGATTCGGATTCCTCCTAGTACAATGTCAGACTTTGTTGCAGAATACCTTGTACATTATAGAAAACTAGAATTCGTAAACATTGTTTCGTTTATTAATACATACAAAAATCAATGCATTTGTTATTTTTTAATCATTGCTAGTAATGCACTTATAGTAAAATTGGTTTGTAAATCAAACTACATTCAAAAATTTATGAAAAATTATTTTCAAATTTTAGATTAAAGTAGTGATATATTTAGTTACGTGTATACTAAAAACGGTCTCACGAAATTGAAGAATTACCTTGCTTGACTGAGGTATCAAAAACAATTTACGAATGTTAATAACCAATATTTTTAAAATAAAAGCTGTTAGTAAAATTAAAACTAAAGTGTAGTTTTTGTCTTTTTTTTCATCTCTAATTATGTTAAATTTTAAACTTTTTTGAATAAAATCGTAAAGTTTCTTTATAGAAATGGATTCTCAGGTGCAATGTGGCACTAAAACATCGTTTACACATTCTATTTTTATCTAGAAAAATAAACGAGAAAATTTTAATTGTGTTTATTAATTAAAGTGCATTTTCGTCTAATTTATTAATCGGAAACATCTTGATTGAATTATTTGAAAAATTTTTGACTCTTCAGTATTTTGTTGATCGATGTCAGTACTTTCGCTTTTAATAGGAAGTTTATTTTCTTTTCTACGATGACTAGTAAGTTGAATCAGAAGGGGCCGTACACGAGACTTGGCCATTGAGTCATATAAAAGAGACAGTTTCACGCCATTCTGGTCAGTTCTCCATAAGTAATTGCCACAGAATGGCAGTTCATCGAAGTACGAATATGCCATAGTTGTAGTCCATATATTGAATAGTGTGCACATAAATGTTATGATTTCCAAACTTCTCCATATCCCAAACAGAAAGACGATCGAAGACAAGAAATAGTTTTATATAGTGAAGGAAGTATATCTGTTAGATGGATGTAAACCCTTTCTTACGCATATAGATTAGATTAGATTAAGTTAGATAATAAATTTCTCACTCTGTGAATATATCATTTTTAATCCCAATAATTGTATTACTAATTTGTTTGATTAATTAAATTTTATTATCATTTGTTTATAATACGGTCTCAGAGATGACTAGATCTAATGCCTCTGTCCACTGTACATATCTGAGTCTCCTTACTCCAACGTGCTTTCCGAATTCGGACTAATAGATAAATCGCGAGTTAAACCGCGAAATAATAGTTTAACTGGTGTCAAGAATCCTGACAGGAGACCGGCTTATACAATCGTATGTCTCCGCCTTTCTTAAATACTTTTAAAGCCCACCGTAAAAGTTAGAAATTGAATCGCAAGATCTTCTGAAGATTAGGTGGTACACAAGTTTACTAACTTTGTACCCCCGGCCTATCTAACAATTTTATTTATACAAATAGTCCACATTTTCTTTCAAACATCTACAAACAATATTAACTTATTAGCTTCTTCTATATATAAATGAGGATCGTTTGTTTGTTTGCTATACACTCCTAGACCGTTCGACGAATTGCTATAAAACTCGGTAGTTACTGTAATAGCCAAGGGTGTGAAATTCAATAAGTACAAGAAATATAATGAAAAAGTGAGTCTAATACAGTTGTCCCTCTATAGTCCGACGTTTTTTAATCCGACATGCTCAGTAGTCCGACGCACCTCCCGTCAAGGTACCCGTCCCCGTTACGTGTCTGTTTGCACAGAAGCATGTCGCGATGTGAATCTCCCTATTTAATTTTTACACGATGACACACATTTCGTGTGTTTTATGTGAGCAGTTCTGTTCGAACAGTTGGAGTAGAGAATATTGTAAGTTACTGCTAGCAAAACAATGCGAAATATGTAATTATTTTCGGTAATCCGGACACTTTTGGTAATCTGACACACCTTTGGTCCCATACCTGTCGGATTATCAAGGGACAACTGTACATTTAAAAACAAAATTCTTGAACATTTCGAAGTAAGAAGATCAAATACAGAAATTAAAATTAATAATAATGATCGTTTGAAATTATACCCTTTGTTTTCAATTTTTAACCAGCTTGCCTGTAAAAGTTCTTTATTTCGTGTGTTATTTATACTTTAAACGTGTGCTTATCTTATAGTATACGTCTTAATTTTGTTTATATACCAAATGTAAGTTTATCTTATTGTTTATATTTTTATAATAATTTTGTTATTAAAATCATGAACTTATCTGTACCTTATTTTGTACAGATGAATATGTACCAAACAGTTTATATAATCTAGAAAATTTTCGGTCTCTTAATTAAGTCTCACATTCTTCCACCTGATTATGCCACCCAAAATAACGTTTTTTGCATGGAAAGACTTCTGCTGCTAAAAGAATGTGAGAACAATCAGCAACTGAAACAAATTAAATACGCAATGAAAGAATTCAAACACAAGCTCAAAAGTAAATTGCATACAAACAGCAAAAAACAAAAGATAGATGTGATATGCGAATTCAGGCTCAAAGAGTAAGGCAAGCTCAATCAAGATGTCTAGCCTTAAACACTTGCCAGTGGAATTTATATGCCTTTAACTATAATCAACACTATTGTTATACATCTGACGATGTTTTCACTATTGGATCAATGTCCAAAAAATGTGCTAAGTGCAGTACTAAGAAGTGGGCAAAAGAATCACCTGGAATGTGTTGTAACAATGGAAAAGTGCAATTACTCGTAATCTCTGAACATCCAGAACCTTTGAAAACTTTACTTACAGGCAATAAAATACTTATTACGAAATATTCAAGCGCACATTTTTGTGTTTCAGATGACTTCCTTTGGAGCTAATACTATTAGTAAACGAGGTTTTATATCTACATTTAAATTTCGAAGTCAAACATATCACAAAATAGATTTGCTACAGCCATTGACACATGAAGAGCCAAGATATCTTCAATTGTACTTTCTTTCTGATTACCACTATCAAGCACAAAATAGATACAATAATATTCCTACAAGATTCGAACTAATTCTTCATTCTAGGTCATTCGTTTAAACAGGTTAATTTTAGTGCATGCGAAACATACTATACTATCGACTGTGACCGAAACATAAGTGCCACCGAAACGTAGTATCTTGTCATTACCAAAGTGAAATAACTTCATCTTAGACACCCGGATAAATCCGAGATTCGCTTGAGTTCAATTCTACTCCTGGCAAGTTTACCTCGACATTTAGCCATATAAACCTTGTCAAGAACTGTTCTTATCTTCTCCTGTCACAAACTACAACCGGATCCTTTAGAGTAAAAGGTAATTATCAACTTGTGAACCGCTGTAAACTCTCTTTAGAGAGAACCACGAGGTTAACCCTATCTAAACCTATTTTAGCTCGATTTAGTATACTCCCGATCGAAATTGTATAAAATGCATTGCCTGTCCTTTATAAATAAACGGTTGTTTTGTTAATTAACCTAGTCTCTGCGTGAGTCACTTCCGGCACGCTTTCTCTCACTCCATCTGCCCGAGCGCCCACATACGCGACTGCTCGCGTGACTTACGTTACCATATCGACTTGACGGAAGTTATATAGTTAAATGGAAGTTTTAATGGTGATCCCGCTTTTCTTAAGTTTTCTAATCTATACACTTAAAATATGTATATAAATTGGTAAATCTTTTGTTTTCTAACAATTTTTTTTCTATCAAAATTGTATAGAGAAAGCTCTGCTGAAATTCTAGACCCTATTATTAGAAGATTGCTACATGCTCATATTTGCATTTGGCTGATCACCAAAATTCAAGCTGATCAAATTGATTCGGTTATCTCTGCTGAAATTCTAGACCCTAGTGTACACAAAGAACTCTTTGAAATACTTAAAACTTCAAATGCTCAGCTCCATGTAGTTTAATAAATTTTAATTCACATTGTATGAAAGACAATAAATGTACAAAACATTACCCAAAACAATTTGTAAAAGACAATCAGACAGGAGAAAATGGTTATCCTTTATATCGCAGAAGAAAACCTGATAATTGAGGCTATACAACGAGTATCAAACTTCATGAAATCGGTAATAGTTGGATATGGAATTGATTTTGAAATTTATTGGTATATTATTCAATGCAGATTTCTCCTCATCTAAGTTTTTAAAATAAAATCATTTAATTAAGACATTTCTTTTCTTTCGACGTATATTTTAATGTAATCCGTATTAATTTTCCATTTCAATCTGTTGGCACAGTTTCATTCTTTACGAAAATATTCATTTCACGACAAAGAACAGCTGTAAGGTTTAATGTCAAAAGATAGCGCGAGTATTATATTTCTGACAGTGCACTACTTTTCTCACATAGTTCAGTTAAATATATTACCAGAAGAATCTAAACAGTTGTTTCTCTTTTCTCAATTATCAATTATGGTGAGTTCTTTTAAACATTATATATTAATATCGTGTATATAATAAAGCTAGTACATATAATAATACATAGATTTTTTATTAACTTTGATATTTAAGCATTTTATAAATATATTTAGAATTATATAAAACACAAATGAAAAACTTTATTTTCTTTATATTATAATGGTACTTTTTTCTGGTATTGTATTTTCAATTTAATCTACTATGGACAATTTTCGATCATTTCTGTTGCATTCTCATTCGATTTTTTAAGTATTGGCTTATAAGTTTAGTAACTTATAGTTGCAAAATTGGTATAAACAATTTTGAATGTTTTTTTTTTCTTTTGTATACATTAAATTTCAGCTGTTTTGACAATAGATGAGACAATCTTAGCTGTAGTTAAGATCATCTGATCCATAATTACTATATCCATAACCTATTTCAAAACAGAATGTAATAATGAGCTGCTGTATTCTTTTATAGAGGCAATTAAAAAGCTTGTAAGTCAGACAGCCGTTTATAAAACGAAGCCTGCTCAGCTTTTGCAGCGATATTTATCGGAAAAGAAATAAGAAACATCGATTATAGAGGAAAACTATTCAAGTCACGTTTTAACTGAACGAGGGTTAAACCATTTCTAGTTACCAATGACCTTCGATCTCGAGGTTCTAACAACTTTTCTATCGATCTTACATCGATTTTAATTGACAATGTAAAGGCCAAAGAAAGATTATGAAATCACCCCCAACAACATCTTTCTCCTCGCGAAGTCCTCTTGTACTAGATACTTAGCGATTCCTTGGTATCTAGTGATAAGTGATATTTTACCGTAGGTACTGTAGTGGCACAATACTTCAATATTCTGTGATCAGTGATTTTGTAACCACAGAGATGAACACACCAATGAAATGTCAATCGTAGTTTAAAAATCAGCAGAACATTGAAATATTATGTCAATTGCACCATCAACGATGTTTCAGTAACCAGGTTTAAATTCCCTGTAATAAATACCGCTTGCCATTATGGGATTGAAACGCGATGGCCTTATTAAAAGTCATTGCAAGAAGAATATGAAAATATAACGTATTTTAAAAATGCAAATACAGGTCATGAAACCCTCTTGATAGAAGTCTGCCTTGATTCACATTAATTTAATTTTCAAAATAACATGACACTTACATAATATTTTTACGTAATTAATGCCATTATCTAACACCATTTGTTAAAATGTTTAAACGTAAATGATAACATAAATTTTGTTTTTTTTATAGACCAGTTCCCTGACGACGATCCTCACATCAATTTACCAAACAGACGTAATATATTACTTATTTGGATCATGTTTGATATGTTTCTTTTTTTCAAATCTGAAGACGTATTTACAAAAATGCGATTGGTCGAAACTGCCAAAGTATAATCAAAGCAACATTTTTCTTCTATGTAAATTTATTTTACTTTCTCTGTATGGTCATTTTGGTAAGTAATTCAACCAAATAAGTTTTTGTTGATTTATTCACACGACAAATCATTAAATATGACCCTACTCGAGATGTAACAAATGATTCCCCCTCTATCCTCCTACTCCATTGATCTTTAAGTATCAAAACTTAATTGCATGAATGTGCTTAATACACAAATTTCCCTGCAAATTTTTAGAAATTTTCGACCAAAGACACAGGAAGTATTAAATTAACTTGAAAATGGAACATGATCTTGTTCCCACAAACCGCACACATACCAATACACATCCCTACATACAAAAAAAAACTAAGATTTCTTTCACATTTCTTGATGTTTGGATGGTTTTTCAGCTCAAAGATTTAAAAATTTTCACGAAAATTTGTAGAAAATGTTTTCTTCCTATTTTAAAATAATAACTATTTCTTTCAACTGTTGAATAGCCTGCCATTAGTTGAGTTTCTACTGAAAGTATGTTCCCGACCAGAATTCTGCTAATAGTTTTAAAACACCTCAGGTGTTTTAGGCTAGCTATTAATTAACATGCTATTGTAACTGACCAACCGTGTTTCATCTAACGGTATACAAATATATAAATAAAAATAAATTTTATTTTAAATTTTATATAATAAGCAAGTAAACATCTGAACTATATTTTATTTTAGATGCTACAATGTTAACACCTGTATTTGAGAAAAATAATGAAATTGGTTTTATTCATTTTAACATTTTCTTTATGAAGACCATAATGATTTTCGACGCGGATCATGTAAAGGTAAAGAAATTGAATATATAAATCGTTAATAAATTTAAACAATTTTATTTCAATATAACTTTTGAAATTTTATTAATATTATATTTCTTATATTACTGTATAATGCGTATATATATATATATATATGAGTGCAACAAGTTCATTGCTATTGAATTTTCTTATTTGAAATCGGTGGTGCATTTCTTATTTATTATGTGAAGTGTCAGTTTATGACATAATTCTTCACTTAACTATTTTCACATAATTAACTTTGGAATATGCTAAACAGTACGAATCAAATTTGATATCAACGTCGTAGCCTAAGCCCACAACCATTTTATCCTAAATGGATAAAAACCATTGAACACCGATAATTGCTAGAGGGTTAGCGTTTTTTAATCGGCTTATCGCGTTGTGTTTTTCGGATTTTTTCACATATCTAACACTTATATAGAGACGAGGCAAGTAGGTTCTACAGGTTACCACAAAATTTTACTCTATTGGCACATCGCTCCTGCGCACTGCCTAATTCCATGAATTTGATAAATCTCGTAGTATAGTTCACATGTAACAATTACAAATCAACTGGTTTCTTTGTTAAGTAACTAACACTGCTGTACAACAAAAATTGTTTTCACTCCTGTCAATTATTTTTACTGATTTTTATAATATAAACGGTGCTAAATCCTAATCTGGCAACAGAATTGGACTAAAACCCACCACTTTTGAGGGAAATGCAGTTATTTCAAGGAAAGTATATTCTGTTCAAAATATTTTATTTATCGGCTACACACATTACTAATAGTCTAATTACATATAAATTAATCTATGTTAATTACTCCTTTTTCATAATTCTATAGATTTAAAAAATGAAACATTTAATGCCATGTTTTCTTTTCTTACATTCTTGTTTTGAAGTCACTCGCTGTAGAGTCCAGCAGTAATCCACTAACGTTTTCTTGTTTCACGTTCCGCTGTACCGCTTTTCTATTTGAGAAGGGAATTGATGGAACCTTTTTTATCTTCATCAGAAATAGCTCCTACATAGGCAGGGAAAAATCTGAATGAGAATGTAGGAAATGCATCTTGTGTTACACATTGTAACCCACAGTTTGGTAGGACGTTATCAACTAATTCAATATTTTATCATAATTCAGAAATGGGAAACATATGGCATGCGTGTCCAAACTGGCACGTAACGTATCATACGATTGTAATTTATCATGTGTTTTTTCCAATCATCTTTTTGGTTTATTACATGATTATCTGTTTTTCAATAAGCTTTTTTCATGTATTCGAATTAAAACACACAACAAATTTCTTTAAATATCGTTATTCGAAATCGAAATCTTTGGCATGCATAAGCATCTTTAGAGCTATGTATTGTTATATTATGGCACCCGGACTCAGAAAGGTTCTCCATCCCTGTAATAGTTGTTAACTAGTATATTCCCCAAAAAATTTTCGTTTACGTTTTCGAATGCGTTTTACACTGTCCTTTCCTTTAGATTAAGTTTTTCCTTGAAAGTAAGATCTTAAAATACTATTTTACTTGTGGCAAAAAAATTTCTCTTTTTTTCGCATTGCTCAAATAAGAAAACTTTTGCTTTAATTAACTAATTAAACAATGCCTCCTCGTATGTTCATACCTTTCACAAAATTTTTAATGAAATCAAGCTTGCTAAGAAGAAGAGGTAAGAGGAATTTAGTTTTCTCCACCAGAGCAGAAAAAGCAATATTTTACTGACCGTGTACGTTTGCTGCGCGATCGGGCTACTTTTTTCCATGTAGTGGCTAGTTGTTGCTTGACTAGTCCAATTCACACAAGAAAGCAAACTTTGCTGCATTTTTTTTTGTTACTTGTTTGCATTGTAATAACTTTGAGGTCAGCATACACATTCCACTCGTGCTCAATGTATTTACCTTGATACTGTCTTTTCTTTTATGTAAACAGCAGGAGCGACTGAAACAGATCGGTGTTTGTTGCAGCAAAATGCGCATGGTGCATATTGTATTACGCTTTTTGTTTTTACTGTAAAGCCTTTGATGTCTATTATGCAAAAGTAACAATCATCGATGTGATTTGAGGTTCCTGCTACACCATAGGGACAGCAAAAGGCATTGATTTGTGTGTGTGTCTTTCAACCATCCAGCTTTCTCCGGTAGATGCTCAGTGATTTTTATTGCGCTTTCAATATCAGTTTTCCACAAATGTAGCAGAAACAGTCTGGCTGGATTTTGCACACGCATGATATGTTGAGACTGAGAGATCTAGAACTGAGTTCCTTGCATCTCTGCTGTATCTTTTAAATCTGACACGCCACGCCTTCACATATGACAGATGAGTGAACCGAACCATTTTGCACCAAACAGCTGACACCTACGGTCTACTAAGATGTGGCACCTGACCTTGAACGGTCCGTATAAAATGATTCCTGACATAAAGCAAATACGCTTTCTCAGGTTCTATCTTTTACTGAAACAATAGTAACAGAAAGATTGTTTTCTAAAAGAGGCATTCTTTGCAAAAAAAAAATGGTATTTTACAAAACTGTGAGTAATAGAAGTTTTTGGACTTTTGATTCATATTCAACACTCTAAAGTACGATATTAAATCATATTTTGTTTCAGGGAAAGATTCTGATGCAGTACAGTATAATGATTAAGAATTTTCAAATTATTATTTCTTACTATGATCGATCTGCAATTCCAATTATGTGATTTTTTAGTCAATTTTTGTTGTTGCATTGATAAGACAATTTATCATAACTAGAGTTGCATAAACTAAATCTAGATGTTGTTTGATTATTGGCGATCTGTCTAGGGAGGAATGACTCCCTGGAGGACTTTTATAAGAAACTAGCTTACCCGTCGCGCATTGCTGCGATCTCAGAAGAAAGGAAATTCAAGCAAACACGTTATGATAAAATTAAATTTACATTTTATCATTTTTATTGAAACTTATTATTATTATTCATTTTCATCGGGAAAACATTTCAAAGTGTCGTTTCAATTCTATTTATTTATTGGAGTGTTTGTGGATACACGATATTTTTTTGTTTTTCCCTCTGGTGTGTACACGAATAAATCGGAAGGTTTTTCAATGCGTGAGCCGCCACATACAGTGGCCGGCTCATACAGTCTATGCGAGAAGCACGGATTCTCTAAATTTAGCCCACACACTCGCTGCGATTGTCAGAAGTGCGATATTCCCCATTTTTATATATATTTTTAAATCCTTTATAATTTTCATTATTTAATTGCTCCTTCCTCTCTTCCTTGGCATGTTGTGAAATTTCTGATAGTTGGATAATAAACCGTTTTATTGTAATTTGTCTTTTTAAATTATTTTGAGTCGATATTAAAATTTGGAAAAGGGGGGATACCTAGATCGGTAAAATACGCGAATTTCTTCCTACAACTTCGGTTGTTGTTCGGGGTACAGTTAAGGTTTTAACGAAGTTCGAGCGAATACATAATTAGCAAAAAAAAGTTGAAATAAAGTGATTAAACAAAAATTATTACAAATATCGTAAATAACAGTTCACAAATGCATATATAGAGATATTTTTTGGAAGGGGGAAATGGTCTTCACAATTTGAAATCGATCGAACACTCTGTGCGCGAATGCTCGTGTAAATGCGCGCCATCTATCGTAGGATAAATGTACTTCGCGGGAGTGTATTAAAAAATTAAAAAAACTTTCCAAAGTTTTATGGCAATTGTACTATGCCACAAACCTTCGCCAGAGTATATTAAACAACTTCCCAAAGTTTCACGGCTATCGGATAAACGGTGTGGTAATGCATGAAGGACAGACAGACAGACACACACACACACATACATTCATTTTTATATATATAGACTAAACTCTATTTAGGTATTACTAAGGTGAATAAAACTCGAGAAACCACGTGGCCGTTGCCTTATTCCATTTAATCGTATAATTCAAATATTTTTCTGCTCGCATGTGCAGAAAGAAAAATGGAAATAGCTGTTGAGAATTTTTAGTTTTCATCCTTATATTTAATTATAAAAGAAGAAAGTCGTTTCTTAAGATAAATTTAAAGATTTACAAATTATAACACAGTAAGCATTAAGAACATTTAGCTTTTCATTAAAGATCCACGATTAATTTAATAATTATCTTAATAGCCAGTTGGTAGAGATATGAAGCTACCAACCGGCTTTTCAGGTAATTATTAAATTAATGCTTTACAGGCAAAAAGCTTAAAACTGTACGAATCCATATTTTTATGCACAATAGTTATTGATGTTTTAATATGACTAATGAAACGTTTTTTTGTATTTTTTTAGTTAATTTTGAACAATCCTAAAATCGTCGATAGATCACCAATCGTATATGGCCTAGAAGGAGTTGTAAATAAATCTATTACGTTCAGGTTTGTTGAATTTATTTATATATATAGATAGAAATGAAATGCATAACCAGTCATACTGACAAGCACCTCATATGAGACATTTTACTTTAAAATGTCTCATATGAGAAAAGTAATCGAAAAGTTATATTATGAAGTAAAACTGTCATTACTTTACGAAATCGATTTCATAGTTCTAGAAGAAATGCGAAACAGTTAGCTTATTAACAAAATAATGGGCCGTAATTTGAAAAACTTGAAGGCCTATAAATTCCCACTGTCGTCTTTTTTATCCTTTTGTCCGCCTGTCTGGCCGTCTTTCCTCAAGTTTCAGAACGGAGTTACATAGATGAAAGTCTGCTGTTGGCGAGTTGCAACCAGTGTTCAGTGGTTTTATGCATACTTTGTTTATAGGAAAATCCAAAAGCATCATTACGGTTCTTTGATACGATGACAAGCGACAATTAAAATTTTTTACTACATATTTAAATAGCTCGAACTCTAAAAGGACTTTTTTTTTATTGTGGGTTGTACCAGCCTCACAATGGATGCGGCCGAACGAGAGAGACGGGACCAGACAATCCGAGACATACCGCATATGAAAAATTTATGTTGTACATGTCTGTAGGGCCATTACGTATATCGTGCTTAGGACTTTGACAAGCATATTTGTTTTCATTCGTTACTTTAACTGCTTGATACCTAGACTCATCCGGTGCTGTAAATTACTATCGCTTAATATATAAGTACTGTACATTTAATAAACCGATATGATATCGATTCTTTAAGCCCACCAGCGGGAGAAGGGATTATAACACTGAACAATAGTCTTAGGATCGGCCTCACCAATGGGTGACTTGCATGAATTTTTTTCGAATTTTCTTCACGTGTATAACACTTTATTATTGAATACATTACTTCTAGTCTTTCGCATTGAACATCTTATTATCTCATTAACCGCGATGTCAAGTAACAATTATTCAATGTATTTCTATATATTTCGATTTAAAACGTACTTTACATGTATTTTATAACTAAAAAAGCGATAATATTTAATAAACTACATTTCGAACTCAACAGTCCAAACGAATAACTACTGTGGTTTTTGTGTGTATTTTTATAAATTTATATGTGGCCGAGCCTTTTCATTATTTTTGATAATTTTACTAAATCCATTTACATAAAGTATTAAGTTATATTTTTCTATGAAGTTCTTAATTTTAGTTATAATAGAATAATGTTTTTTTTTTTTTTATTTCAGTAATGGCAATGAATGGGCAAAGAAAAGAAAATTATTCACTCCTATTTTCCGCATGAAACAATTAGACGATTTTATTCCAGAGATAGAAAGACATTCGCGCAATACTTTAGAAAAATTAAAATCTTGCAAGAGCGATGTCTCATTTTCTGTAAATGAAACAATAATGTCGATTGCTTTCGGTAAGTTTGAAAAAGTTTAATTATGTTTATATCTAGTGAAGAATCTGAAACACAGGTTGATTCAAAAGTCTTCTTACATAGGTAAAAGACGGACCTAAATATGCCGTCAAATAAGTCATAAAATATTTGCTATGTTGATGTTAAATAATTTGAATGCACACATAAACACTAGAATGCCTGGACCGAGCGTATTCCGATCAACACCTTGATAACGATTTTCTAGAGCATCTGTTAAATTCGAGCGAGATGAGACTTAAATAAACTAGTATAAAGAGGAAACGTATTTCCTTTTAATGATATAAAATCGTGCTTTGAAATTTGTTTCTGCTTCTAACACTATAAAGTGCTATAGAGGAAGGAAACGTATTTCTCAATTGTGTTATCTACTGTATTCTTATTGTCCATTCCTGTCTTCTTTCAGTAGTGACAGGTGCAACTATCCTACAACAATTACCTTTGCTGCTGTAAGCAAACGCGTTACCTGTATATATGAGAGAAGAAACTCCTTCGTCATGAAAATTCAAGCAAAAATAAGCACTTCTCAGTTGTAAGATTTATATTTATTTGTACACAGCGTGCTTTAAGATATTTATTATTTAAGTAAAATCGATATTATCTCATAAACTTTATCCTAAAAATTAACATTTCTAGTCAAAAATAATCCAGCAACTAGTTACTCAACTTTCCCTGCAACATTTAAAATTTAGATAACGTCATGTGTTGTATTATATTTTAAAAAGTTTTATATTTTTAACTATTATTGAATGGCAAAAAGAATAATTTTGAAAATATAAAAGTGTTTTATAAAAAATTCTAAATGCTAATAACGAGTAAAATCGTCATTAAGTCTGACCCAACTCGAGATACACACAACGCTAGTATTTCTCCACCTCCATGACTTTTAACCACCAAACTTTAAGATCATTAATCACATATTAAGCAGACCAACAAATTTCATAAATTTACCACAAAGAAACACAGGAGTTATTAAGCTTGAAACAGGGCGAACAAAATCGTCCCCCAAACACGTACACACACACTAACATCCATATGTACAGAAATTACCTGAGAATTTTTTGTATTTCTCAATGTTGGAATGTGTCTTAAGTCCAAAAATGTAAAAATCTTCGGTGGGGTTATTTTTTGACTGATCGCAATACATTTTTTCTGTTATATATAACAGCAGCTAAAGTAAAAGCTTTAGTAACACTTACCTAAATATCATTAAATAAACATTACGAAATACAAAGATTAACCTATGAAAAGAAAACATAGTAGCACTTTTAAGGGATAAAATCTGAAAGAAACGAAACAACACCTGGTTAATAGGAAAGTAAGTGAAATATATTACTTTCTTGTTCTATTAGTTTTCATTAACTCCTAAACCTGTTGCTCGAACTGTACCAAACTTTTTATGCTTATTCTCTTGGACTTCCAGGCAAATATAAACTACATATAAAACATTGACACCACACCCTTTCCTTGATTTCATTCCCCTTATTAACTCCCAGCAAAATATAGACTTACGTGAAATCTGAACGCCCCACTCTCCTCCCAACTTAATCTCCTCGACATTTCGAGATAAACGTAACAACCGTAGGCTAAAATAGCAAAACTTGTAATATAGTTTTTATTTTACATTTTTTCCGTTAATTTATTTAATTTAAAATATATGCTCTCCACCTGAAATTAGTACTGGCTTGCCCCTGTACATCATACTTTCCTGCCAGCAATAAAGTCGTGCCTATTACCTATCTGACTCCTTTTATGGGAAAAGTTTTCAATTGAAATAACGTGATTTCCTATTCAAAGTAGATATGTTTTATGCTTATTCTGGGCCTCCTAATGCTAAGATTTCCACATCTTTTCTCCACTTTTATCTACCTAATTCTGTTCTTAAAATTAAGGAAAGACAGACAGTGGAAATTTATAGGTCTGCAATGTTTTCAAACTGCAACCCCAATTAATACTAGAAATGTCCAGTGATTCATGTTTTTTCTGTAATTTTGTGTTAAAATTATATTTTTAAATGTAACGAAAACAATTCTTTTTGGATAAGGTGACTTTGGTGTAAAATTATTATTTAACATATTATAATAATTATATTACAGAAACTATATTTGGATTTCAAAAGTCTCTACACATCGAAGAATTTCCTGTGATAGATAAAATATGCGAATTGTAAGTGTAATTTGTTTTAAATGCTTTATTTTGTGATAATATTTTCTCGAATTATGTTTAATACGTAACGTTAACGGTTATTTAAAAACATTTTTGCTTTGCTGAAAAGAAAATTATGTTTTAATATTGATTATAATAATAATGAGTTTTACGTTTTATCTACAGACTGGTTCAAAACTTGCTTAAAAATTAGATAACTGTTTGTAATTGCCATTAAATTGGATAATTAAATTACTAGAAAACAAGTTTCCACAAATTTAAAAAAGTACCTAATGGAAAAATAATAGTGAATATTTAAATGGCAAAGGGATTTATGTATTACCCTAGAGACTGCTTCACAATGAACTTTTAGGATCAAGTTATTTTTTTCCTTTTGGATCTCACGTGTAAAATAATATTAACCCTAGATATGACGTTAATAAACAGGATAAATGAAAACACGTGTTAACATGTGTTTCTATCTATCATCATCATCATCGTGGTTTTTGTTTTATACTTGTGCTGCATTTTTGGTTTTTAGCAATAGAGAAATTTGATATGAATAATATCTGGGTGATAACAACAACAACTACAACGCCAACAACTGTTCAAACAGAATGAATTGTATTATGCAGCGTGAGGTCTGTATTAAACGCATTATCACAATTAAAAATGTGTACACTACACAAAAGTCCAGAAACATTAAACCTTAATTATAACATACAAATGGCACTAGAGAAACCTGCAATATTTAACACGTGTCGCATTGTTAGCAAATTTCTAAATGTTAATATATATTCCAAGAACACAAAAGCACATTAATGTAACACTTGTTTGGGTAGCAATGCTTTGACTTGAGTCCTGCATAAACACTTGGAACAAGTATCAGCTGAACATGACAAATAATAATAATTTAAAAAAGAGAATTTTTCAATAATAATACAAAACAATTACCTAATTATATTAAATTTCAAAGGCATTCAAAAATGAATTTGAAAACATACATTTCAATGCGGAACAAGCTGTAACTTCAAATTCTGACAAATGGTTCTATTCTTTTCGACCTTGATGCTATTCTCCAATTGTTACTTTTCTTGTATTTATAATTCTATAAATAAATTCATAAACAAAAGTGTTTTGCACTGATATGAAATTGTTCAATTAATGCAAAATTCTCACCATAGCCATATCTGGCACAGGTATGTAAATAATTACCACGTTTGATAGCACGTAGGACACCATGTGGCCATGTAAATTTGTGGAAAGGTTTAGAGAGGGTCATGGTATTCAGAATTTTCAGTGTACATTACCTATTGTTTGGAGATCTTCGAATGCCACGTATGCATGTACGATGTTGTCAAAGACATTACTTACAGCTGACGAATTTTGACAATGGCCCATCATTAGAAAAGAGATGTAGATTAATTGTTTCGACATGACTTTGAGAAGATGTAGCGGATACTTGAGCGCTTGTAATGTAGATGTAGAGTGATCCTGTAATGTAGATGTAGAGTGTAGATGTGGTCAGGCTCTGAACGTCACAGATACACTGTCATGAAAGATGATAGTTTGATTGCGAGATAAGTACGAACAGCTGCAATACCGTCTTTGATCATTATTCGGAAACACATAGAAGTCTCATTACAGAACTTCGTATTTTCCTATATCTTTAACGAGTGAATAGCAGAGGCTAATTTTCTTGCATTTTACTGCTATAAGGTTTGTCATTAGGACACATGTCGTCAATTTTAGAGCTGCTGTGACAGGGAAGCATAAACTGCCATTGACTGGCAGACAGTGATAAATCTTGATCGTGTTCGGGAACGGATGACTATCGTGTTATGGTATCGAGAACCATTGACGAGCGTTTCAATCCCGTGTCTACTATGAGCGATACACCGACTCATGATGGGATGTAGGTCTGGCAAATCATCTCGTATGACAGTCGATCATCCATAACAGTAGTGCTCGAGGCATTGATGGCACAGCGATAAGTTCAGGAAATTCTGTACCCTCACTCTTCGTCATTCCTGACAGAGCTGCTTCACAATTTTCTAGCAACATAACGTTTAAGCAGATAGCTAACATTTCACAAAAATGTGACATTACCACAAATGTTTGGCCTACTCGGCCTGCAGATTTGCTACTATTGGTTGAATCACATCGATAGAATAGAGCATCCAATACGTGGACAATTTACCAAAGGAGGTGCCTTCCAAGAAGACTTTCTACGTGAAAGTGGCCCCTTCAGAAATATGAAGGAAACGCAGATAACTCGACATGGCACTTACCAAAGAAGATATACGCACCAAAATTTTCCAGGTTTTATTCACTTGGCCACTAGTCAGCCAGAGCGTTTGTATGACCAGATGAACACAACTTTCCTCCATCAACGAATGTTAGGAATCCGATGTGACAATTGCGTCATCTCTTGAGAAATCTGGCATAAAACTGCGAATGATGCTTCAATGTTTCCATGCCCGTAGCGTTATCTCTGCACTTTTCCTATCAAAAGGTTACGTGCAAGATATTATACGTTTGTTAACATTACCATCATTACTCAAAAAACTTTTGGAACGATATTATAATAATTTCTTATTATCGTTATCATATTTTCACCAACATACTAAAATGTTATTGTTATTTAGTTTCAAGTTTTTTGACGGTAAGTGTAATTTTGCATTAGTAATTGCTACATTGTTGAACGTATTACTCTTCTATTCTGATCCTTTTCGACAATTACTAACTAAATATAAAATTATATTTATTACAGCGTAAACCAGATGAGTTGGAAACGAACAGTCAACGTATTTCTCAGATCAAATTTAATTTTTGATTATTTTTCGAATGGAAAGAAACTTAAAGAATATTGCAATGTCTTAAAAGAAATATCTGAAAAAGTTATCTTTTCTTTTATTTTAATAAGATTTTTAAATATTGTTATGCAATTATACAATTCTATTTCTTACANAATTGGATGGGGAGATTCACATCGCGACATGCTTCTGTGCAAGCAGACACGTAACGGGGATGGGTACCTTGACGGGAGGTACGTCGGACTACTGAGCATGTCGGATTAAAAAACGTCGGACTATAGAGGGACAACTGTATTAGGGCACAGAAGACTGTAACAATAAAGAAGAATATTAGCACATAAGACTAATTAAGTACTAAAGCAGAATATTGAAGGAATTTATATCACTAAATAAAAAAGGAAATTTATTATATAGGCCTTATATATTTTCATTTCACGACTGCACAATTTTAAATTAATTAAATAAATGATCTTAACGATTGCAAGAATATCATTAATTTTTAGAGTGAGAATGAAACATCAAAAGTTATTTGTAACGTTTCACTCTCTCCCCTTTCCCTTCTCGATATCATACTGAAACCTGACCACTTGTGTTTTTGTTTGATAATAAAACATAATGGATCGACGTTGATATTTAATACTGTATAAAGGAAACTTAAATTAGTAAACTAAAACAGTACATAAAAAAAAAACAAAAACAAAGAAAGCAATTTGGAGTTTATGTGCAGGTAAACAAAGGATAAAAGACGTCATTGTGATTGGGTAATTCTGATTTTATAATTCTATAAATAAATAGAAAAATGTGTTATCTTTGAATTAATGAGCAGGTAAACAAAGGATAAAAGACGTCATTGTGATTGGGTAATTCTGATTTTATAATTCTATAAATAAATTCATAAACAAAAGCGTTTTGCACTGATATGAAATTGTCCAATTAATGCAAAATTCTTACCATAGCCATATCTGGCACAGGTATGTAAATAATTACCACGTTTGATAGCACGTAGGAAATACCATTTGGCCCTGTAAATTTGTGGAAAGGTTTAGAGAGGGTCATGGTATTCAGAATTTTCAGTGTACAGTACTTATTGTTTGGAATAGGGTACAGTACCTATTGTTTGGAATGTAGTACCTATCTTCAAATGCCACGTATGCATGTACGATGTTGTCAAAGACAGCTGAAGAATTTTGACAATGGCCCATTATTAGGAAAGAGATGTAGATTAATTGTTTCGACATGACTTTGAGAAGATATAGCGGATACTTGAGCGCTTGTAATGTAGATGTAGAATGTAGACGTGGTCAGGCTCTGAACGTCACAGATACACTGTCATGAAAGATAGTAGTTTGATTGCGAGATAAGTACGAACAGCTGCAATACCATCTTTGATCATTATTCGAAAACACATAGAAGTCTCATTACAGAACTTCGTATTTTCCTATATATTTAACGAGTGAATAGCAGAATCTAATTTTCTTGCATTTTACTGCTATAAGTTTTGTCATTAGGACACATATCGTTAATTTTAGAGCTGCCGTGACAGGGAAGCATAAACTGCCATTGACTGGCAGACAGTGATAATTCTTGATCGTGTTCGGGAACGGACGACTATTGTGTTATGGTATCGAGAACCATTGACGAGAGTTTCAATCCCGTGTCTACTATGAGCGGTATACTCTCTCATGATGGGATGTTGGTCTGGCAAATCATCTCGTATGACAGTCGATCATCCATAACAGTAGTGCTCGAGGCATTGATGGCACAGCGATAAGTTCAGGAAATTCTGTACCCTCACTCTTCGTCATTCCTGACAGAGCTGCTTCACAATTTTCTAGCTGCTTCACAATGAACTTTTAGGATCAAGTTATTTTTTTCCTTTTGGATCTCACGTGTAAAATAATATTAACCCTAGATATGACGTTAATAAACAGGATAAATGAAAACACGTGTTAACATGTGTTTCTATCTATCATCATCATCATCGTGGTTTCGGTTTTATACTTGTGCTGCATTTTTGGTTTTTAGCAATAGAGAAATTTGATATGAATAACATCTGGGTGATAACAACAACAACGCCAACAACTGTTCAAACAGAATGAATCGTATTATGCAGCATGAGGTCTGTATTAAACGTATTCTCACAATTAAAAATGTGTACACTACACAAAAGTCCAGAAACATTAAGCCTTAATTAAAACATATAAATGGCACTAGAGAAAGCTGCAATATTTAACACGTGTCACAATGTTAGCAAATTTCTAAATGTTAATATATATGTTATGGACAAAGTGATTAATACGGGCATTATGAATAATTCCCGTATTATTCATAATGCCGAATAATGCCCGGGCATTATGAATAATGACCAACAAAATCGGGCACTGTAATAAATTTCAATAATTTATTAAATTGACCGGTCATTATGAATACTGCTACCACCTAGTCGGGCAAAGTGATAAAATATGTTAAGGAGTGATCATCCGACATAGTTAGCCAATCAGAACTTACATCTTACTTGCTCACGCGTATTGCATTTAGTACCGAATTTTAAATTTATGTGTTCAGTAGTTAATCTTTCTTCTTTGACAAAAGTAACGATCATGGAGGAATCATTAAGTGATATGAATAATCGCTTCAACAACCAATTAAACGAGCTAAAAACAAAAGGGCTGAAGAAGTAGCATATATTCTTTTGGTTTTTTTTAACAATTTTTGGTGCACCGAGTATTCTACAAAGCGATAATGGCAGAGAATTCGCCAATAATATCATCAAAGAAATGTGTAATATGTGGTCCGAGTTAAAAATGGTGCATGGAAAGCCCAGGCACTCACAAAGTCAGGGTTCAGTAGAAAGATGTAATCAAGACGTAGAAAATATGCTTAGTTCTTGGTTGGAGATTAACAATACTAACAAATGGTCGGAAGGATTACGTTTTNACAATATCACCAGCGGCTAAGTATATAACACCGTTGAAAATGGGTGTATTTGATTCCGGGTTTTCTCCTGACCAAAGAGTTGGCCGAGTGGAGTTTTACAAGTTTTTCATACGTGTAACAACAAAATAATCGCAAATGCCGACTAACAATTTGAACAAGAAATCAACTTGCTCTGCTCAGTGTTTGAAAAATTTATAAATAATTAAAAGATAATATCTTTACATATATTTCTCACACCTTTTATATATGTCGTATATAATATTATATGTAAGTTGTGTGAATTGATATAAACTACAGTTTGAAAAGAAGTAGTATAAAAATTGTAACCTGTGTATAAATATGAAGGTTTTATATTACTGTTCTTAAAACTATATTTCAGTTTCTATACCGTGCAATTTCTTAAACGATATTCACTAGAAAATAATTGGGCAACGCTTGACAATTGTAAATAAATAAACTATTAAACGTACTCTTGTACAGTACTGTACCAGTTATCCGGCTCCCGAGAACCTGCTATTTTTGTAACTAGTTTTTACTTTAATGGGCTATAATACAGCTGTAGCTGGTTCACTCGGCATACATTCTAGTATGACTGCTGGAATGCGTTGTGTTGAATACAGTTCAGTTCCTTACTATCCATTATCGATTTTATACGCCAAGTAAGTATTTAGCCTCCATCCAGACAACCGGAAAATTTAAAAAATACTACCAGACCCAAGCTTGCAGGATCTCTGTATAAGATTCCAAGTTTTTGGTTACTGGTTTATCAAATATAATTTTCCTTTTTCGTTATTTTTATCATTTATCTTATAGAAATAAGTTTTTGGAAATCATTTGTATTCTTCTACTTAAAAATATTGTTGACGTTTGTCAATCTATAAGAATTACTGAAAATGATTTCGATTATTATTTTTTCAATAGGCTTATACTACATTATCGAAAACAATATGCTGGTGTTTGTACGAAGTTGGAAAAAATCCTGAAATTCTGGCAAAAATACAAGATGAATTAGATTCTATATTCGAAGATGTCAATTCTCCTATTCGAAAAGAAGACTTGCAAAAAATGGAATATTTAGAATGTGTCATTAATGTATGTTGTTTTCTGTTACACTATGGAAATATCACTTTAACTTTTGTAACGTTTCGCGTTATTATTACCAGTAAAAATATATTAACACTTTAGTATATTTCTAAATACGTGTGTGCTGTACTGTATATGTAACGAACTAGTTACGCAATGAGGAGATAAGTGGCTTCGCCATGACAGACTATTTCCTGCAAGTAACTGCGGAAGCTGCAAATTTATCTCCCCTATTGTGGAGTTAGTTCGTCATATGTACTGTACAGTACATGTAGTCTATATTATAAAATATAAGTACTGTACGTTAATATATTTTTACGTATGGCGTAGTTAAGAGTCGCACCTATTCTACGCGGACCTTAGTAACGAAATGCCAGTGTACGGTTAATAACTAGGAAGCACGATCCGGGTTCGATCCGGTCATAGAGGAAGACGTGGGCTAATTCTCTGATTGTACGTAACGCGTTACGTGGTTAATTTGTCGGGGCAGGTGTAGATTTTAGAATTTTGTTGTCTTAGCTGAGAATTATGCGAGAACCTTATAACTTCCTGTATCTATTCGTATGTTACATCCATCCCTCGCTAGTATTGTGTTGTTTAGACTTATAGACTTGGGTTTGCAGATCCGTTTTATCGTATTTAAGATCGTAGTTTTGCATATTTTGGGGGAGAGTAAATAAATACGCGGACTTTATCGTATTTCTAAGAAAACACGTCGAATACTTGAAAAGTAAGCCAAGTGTGTCTTCCCTCTCCAGTTGAAATTTCTTGTGAAGAACCGAAAGATTACACGCGTCATGGTTAATAGTTACGAATTGAATCATTGACAGTGCACTCGAACCCGGAGCCATTGCTGTTTATTAACACGTGACGTCTGTCAAAGGTCGGTGTCATTAAGCAGTTAAACTATGACTAAAAGCCAATGTTCGAGGAGATCTTCATCTTTTATACAAAATTGGTAGACCAATGAAAAATGTCTACATTTTCTTTCCTACACTCTTTTACTAAGGAAAATATGAAGTGTAACTTTCACTTCTAAAGGAACTATTTCTAAAGAAACACTTCTAAAGGAACTTTCACTTCTAAAGGTATATCTATACCATTTTTCCCTATATAATTTATTGAAATTAAAGTACATTATTAAAAAAATATTTCGATAATTTTTTTAGATTTTGAAATATTTTTATTATCGATAAGATAAGTTTTGATAACTTTACACAGTATTGTTATTTATCACAGGAAACAATGAGAATGTATCCAGCAGTTCCTATAACAGCTAGATTATCGAAAGAAGAAATATGTGTTGGTAAAGATGTCATTTTTAATACTTTCAAATAGCATTACGTTCATAAAACACTAACAACTTTAACCTTTGACAGGCAACCAGATTTTTCCTTCAAATTGTAATTTTCTGATATCGATTTATCATCTTCAGCGAAATTCAAGATATTTCCCTAATCCGAACAAATTCGATCCACTTCGATTTCTTCCATCAAATTCAGCAAATAGACATCCTTATTGCTTTATACCATTTTCAGCTGGGAGAAGGAATTGCATTGGTAAGTTTTATAAACATTTAAGTAAGGATTAAATTTATATTAAGAATTTTACTTTATTTTCGAATTGATTTGGCATCACATGTCGTCAAGAAATAAAAAATTTTAGAGGTTATTGATCTACTTTTTTTTTCGATTAAATGCAAAATAAGTTGCAACTGGGAGAGGTGCGAACTTACAACCGAACTCCCAGTGTTCTGGGAACGGAACCACTTTGGCCATTGTCTGTTTATTTCATCAAGTATCACTTAAGAACATCTGAACCAATTTCTATGAATCTTTCTATGTACAGTACTGTACATTAATCCAGGATAGTATACATCATTTTNGAAAATATGAAGTGTAACTTTCACTTCTAAAGGAACTATTTCTAAAGAAACACTTCTAAAGGAACTTTCACTTCTAAAGGTATATCTATACCATTTTTCCCTATATAATTTATTGAAATTAAAGTACATTATTAAAAAAATATTTCGATAATTTTTTTAGGTTTTGAAATATTTTTATTATCGATAAGATAAGTTTTGATAACTTTACACAGTATTGTTATTTATCACAGGAAACAATGAGAATGTATCCAGCAGTTCCTATAACAGCTAGATTATCGAAAGAAGAAATATGTGTTGGTAAAGATGTCATTTTTAATACTTTCAAATAGCATTACGATAGATAGAAATGATATGCATAACCAGTCATACTGACAAGCACCTCATATGAGACATTTTACTTTAAAATGTCTCATATGAGAAAAGTAATCGAAAAGTTATATTATGAAGTAAAACTGTCATTACTTTACGAAATCGATTTCATAGTTCTAGAAGAAATGCGAAACAGTTAGCTTATTAACAAAATAATGGGCCGTAATTTGAAAAACTTGAAGGCCTATAAATTCCCACTGTCGTCTTTTTTATCCTTTTGTCCGCCTGTCTGGCCGTCTTTCCTCAAGTTTCAGAACGGAGTTACATAGATGAAAGTCTGCTGTTGGCGAGTTGCAACCAGTGTTCAGTGGTTTTATGCATACTTTGTTTATAGGAAAATCCAAAAGCATCATTACGGTTCTTTGATACGATGACAAGCGACAATTAAAATTTTTTACTACATATTTAAATAGCTCGAACTCTAAAAGGACTTTTTTTTTATTGTGGGTTGTACCAGCCTCACAATGGATGCGGCCGAACGAGAGAGACGGGACCAGACAATCCGAGACATACCGCATATGAAAAATTTATGTTGTACATGTCTGTAGGTAAATTGGTAAATCTTTTGTTTTC